AACATGCTCCACAGGGTTTCCAATGGCTGATTTCTCAGCAGTAGATTCCAGGCCTTTCTGCCACAGCACTACTATGGAAACTCTGACCCATAACCTTTTGGTTAGCAGCTGAGCACACGGAACCTTTCACAACCTGGGGACTCCTCTTCTCCCAACTTCCAAACAACCAACCAGCCAGTGATCACTGACTCCACTCTGACTCCTGACGACACTCTGTATGTCAGAGCAGAACTGTGCTCCAGAACTGAGCTCCCTGGGCTTTCGTTGTTCTTCCTTCCACAGCCCCACTGAGTAAATCAGAACTTCCTTCCTTTCAGTTAGCATCTGGTCACATCAACCGTATTCACCATCCAGGAACACCTACCCCATCTACTAACGAACCTACAAGCTGTGCTCATATGTGTCAGGAAGCTAAGTTTCCTAGAGTTTCCCATGCCTACTTTTTAGAAGTAGATCACCATTCCTTTCTTCCACAAAATTACTAAGTAAACTAGAACCTTGAAATGCTTGAGAAGCAGCTGGGTACACCAACCAAATTCACAGTCCATCACTTTCTAGCTCATCTTCAGGCATGCTGTCAATTTAGACTTCGCACATCCCCAAAACAGTTAGAGTAGAACTGTGCACCACAGTGTTTCCAATGGCTGCGTTTTGGGAAGAAGACTGCCAGATCTTTCCTCCGCATCACATCTGAGTTCTCTAGAATCCACAAACTTTCCATTAGCAACTGGCCACATCAACCATGTTCACCACCCAGGAACTCCGGTTGTTGTTGTTATGTGCTGTGGAGTCTCTGCCAACTCATAGCAACCATGTAAAGGGTTTCCGAGGCTATAAATCTTTACGGGAGCAAACAGCCTCATCTTTCTCCCACGGAACAGCTGGTAGTTTCAAACTGATGACCCTGAGGTTAGCAGCCTGATTCGTAACCACTACGCTACCAGAGCTCCTATCCCACCTTTTAACTGAAGTACATGGTGCCACGCATCGACTTCCGTCATAGCAACTGAATAGATATCAGAGAAGAACTGTCTATCTGAAGCCTCTGTCGTGCCTCTGGATAAGCAAGAATCTCCAACCTTCAGGTTAACAACAAGATAGAATAATATTTGCAAAACCCAAAGACTCCTAGTCCATGTTCCAGTAAACCAACAAGTAGCCGTTAAAATCATTTTGACTCATGGTGAGTCCATGTGAGTCAGAGTAAAATTGTCCTTCACAGCATTGTCAATGGTTGAGTTATTGGAAGATTACCGGGCCTTTCTTCTGCAGCACCATTGGTAAAATTAGACTATTCAACTGCACAGTGAGCAACTGAGTATGTCAACCACATTCACCACCCAGAACCTTCCATCCCATTTTCCAATGAACAAACCAGTGGACGAACTGTCGATTTTGACTCCTCACATGCCAGTGTCTAAGCAGAACTGTACTTCACAGAATTTCAACAGCTGATTTTTTAGAAGCATATTGCCAGGCCTTTATTCTGCAGGACGACTGTGTAAACTGGAACCACCAATCTTTCAGTTAAGAGCTGGCCACATCTTTCTATCACCTGTGGACTCCTATCCTGCCATCTATCACCAAACAATCACTAATCATTGAATTGACTATCCTCTGGCAACTCCATGTGTTTCAGGGCAGAACTGTGCTCCATAAGGTTTTCAAAGCCTGATTTCTTCACTGTCAATGGGCAAACTTGAACCTCCAGATGTTTGGTGAGCAGCTGGATATATCATCTGTTGGCACCACACAGGGCCTTTTATCCCACCTTCCAATGGACAGACCAGGTGACATCCAGTGAACTTGGACTCTTTGCATCTCCATATGTGTCACAGCAGACCTGTGCTCCTCAGGCTACGCAGTGGCTGATTTGGGGAGGCCGATCCCAGGGCTTTCTTCCTCAGCACCACCAGAACCTAAAAGCTTCAGATTAGTGGCTGGACACATCATCCATGTCCACTACCTATGGGTTCCTATCGCATTTTCAAGCAACCAACAAGGTGGCATTGAGTTGATTTCAACTCATAGTGACCCCATGCGTGTCAGAGAAGTATTGTTTTCCAAGTAGTTTATGATGCTTGATTTATTGGAAGAAGATCACCATGCCTTTCTTATGCAGTGCCTCTGGCTACACTGTAACCTCAAACCTTTACCTTAGCAATTGCACAGGTAAACACTTGCACAAAACAGGGACTCCTAGGTCATCTTCCAGTAAACCAACCTGTAGTCATTAAATCCACTTGGACTCATGATCCTTTGTGAGTCACAGCAGTACTGTGCTCCACAGGGATTCCAATGGCTCATGTATTAGGAGGAGATTTCCAGGTGTTTCCCCTGCAGTAACACTGGCTGAACTTTAACATTCAATCTTTCAGTTATCAGCTGGGCACATGAACCATTTCCACCACCCGGGGACTTCTATCCTCTCATCTTCCAATTCGCCAACCTGTGATCACTATGGCCACTTTAACTCCTGGTGACCCCGTGTGTGTCAGAGCAGAACTGTGCTCCACAGGCTTCTCAATGTCTGATTTTGAAAAGAAGACTGCCCGGCCTTTCTTCCGCAGCACCACTGGGTTAAATAGAAACCCCATCCTTTCAGTAAGCAGCTGGGCACATGAACCATTTCCACAACCCCGGGACACCTACCCCATCTTGCAGGAAACCAATCAGAAACCCTTAAGTCAAGTTCAACTCAGGGTGATCCCATGTGTGTCAGAGGGGAAATGGGCTCCACAAGGTTTTCAATGATTGGTTTATCAGCAGTAGATTGCCAGGTCTTTCTGCCACAGCACTCTACTATGAAAACTCTGACCTCTAACCTTGTTAGCAGCTGGGCATACACCACCACCTGGGGACTCCAATCCTGTCATTTCCCAGTCAACCAACCAGTGATCATTGAATCCACCGTGACTCCTGCCGATCCCATGTGTTTCAGAGAAGAACTGTGCTCCACAGGGTTTTGAACGCCTGGTTTTAAAAACATCACCAGGCCTTTCTTCCACAGCACTACTGGCTAAATAAGAACTTCCAACATGTCAGTTAGTATATGAGCACATCAACCAAATTCACCACCAAGGGACTCCAACCACATCTTCCAACCAACCGACAAGCTGCCCTGGACGTAACTTTGGGGCATACCAAACCAGTCTGTGTCCAATAACTACGCTCCATAGGGTTTTCCCTGCCCGATTTTTTGGAAGTAGATCACTAGACCTTTGTTCCACAGACTCACTAGGTAAATTAGGACCTTGACATGTTTGGGAATGCTGGGCACATCAGCCACCATGTTCACCATCCAGAGCCTTCTATCTCATCTTCCAATGAACAAACCAGCTAACATGCTGTCAATTGAGATTCCTCACATCCCCACACGTGTCCAAGCAGAACTGTGCTCCACAGGGTTTTCAGTGGTAGATTTTTAAGAAGCAGATTGCCAGGCATTTCTTCCACAGCACCTCTGAGTACTCTAGAACCTACAAACTTTTCATTAACAGCTGGGTGCACCAACCATGTTCACCACCCAGGGACTCCCATCCCACCTCTAACTCAGCCTACTCGGTGCCATGTGTCAACTTCAATCATGGCAACTGCACATATGTCAGAGAAGAACTGTACACTCAATGGTTTCTGGAAGTGTGATCACCAGTCCTTTCTTCTGTACCACCTCTGGTTCAACTACAATCTACACCCTTGAGGTTACCAACTAGACCCTTAAACATTTGCACAACCCAGGGACTCCTAGTCCAGTTTTCAGTAAAACAACTAGAAGCCATTAGAATGACTTGACCCATGATGAATCCATGTGAATCAGAGAACTGTGCTCCACAGCATTTCCAATACCTGAGTTATTGGAAGCAGATCACCAGATCTTTCTTTTGCAGCACCTCTGTGGAAAATCAAAGGCTGCGCTCTTTGATCTCATATTTTGGACATATTGTCAGGAGGGAACAGTCGCTGGAGAAGGATATCATGCTTGGTAAGATGGCGGGTCGGAGAAAAAGAGGAAGACCCCCAACGAGATGCAATGGTCAGGTGGCAGCATTGATGGACTCAAACGTGGCAACAGTAGTGAGGTTGGCCCAGGATGGGACATTGTTTCGTCCTGTTGTGCATGGGGTCGCTATGAGTCGGTTCCGACTCGATGGCACCTGACATCAAAAACTGTGGAAACTAGAGTATCCAAATTTTGATTAGCAGTGGGCATTCGATCTCATCTTCAAACGAACCAATCAGCCTACATACCGTTGATTTTGACTCCTCCCATCCCCATATGGATCAGAGCAGAACTGGACTGCGCAGGGTTAGCCATGCCTGATTCTTAAAACAAGATTGCGAGGCCTTTCTTCCAAAGCACCACTGGGTAAACTCTAAATACCAACCTTTTAGTTCACAGCTGGGTGCATAAAGTAATCTTTCAAGAAACCAACCAGTAATCAGTAAGTCAGCTTCAACTCCTGGGGAGTCTGTGTGTATCAGAGAGAAACATGGCCCACAGGGTTTTCAATGGCTGAGTTATTAGTAGATGCCAGGGCTTTCCGCCAGAGCACGACTAGGAAAATTCTGGTTTCTAACCTTTTGATTAGCAAGTGCGCACACGTAGGGTACTGTCAGGAAGCACAGGACTAAAACACCAACAATGACAGGCTACTAACGTCAGGAATTTGTGTCATCACACATGTGCTCAAGTGAGGTATGTTGGTGCAATGGGCAGGGCATGTGGTTGAAGAGAGGGGATCCAAGTTCCGGAACAGAGTGGGCTCACAAGGGGGTCCCCGTAAAGGGGGCTGCTCTAGGATCCCAGAGAAGACAGAGTCTATGGTGCACAGGGCAGCAGCATCCGAGGACAGGAGCACTCGATAATGGCACCAAACCAGGAAAGCAGGAGATAACACGGGCTCCCCGCGGGGCAAGTAAGCCACCTGTCCCCCCACCCCCCACCCCATACACAGCTTCTCAGGGCAGGCTGTGGAAGAGACGCCCTGGGCTGCTCTCACCTGCTGTAGCATGTAGGCAACAGCTTCCTGGAAGAGACTTCACTGCTGTTGGTGCACTGCTTCACGAAGACGACCCCTCTGCTGCAGAGACAGCCCCACAGGGCCCAGGGGGGGTCAGCCGTGGGACTTGCTTCCAGACGCCAGGTTCCCCTTGGCCCCCTTCCCTGGAGACACTCCGCCCCAGGAAGCCCTGTGCCACCCCCCATCCCACCTCTCCGTGTTGTGTGTGGGGGGGGCGGTACTTAGGACTGCACTACTGCACACAGTCAACAGGCAGCTGGGAGCCAAGGAGACTCAGGAGGTCGAGGCAGGAAAGCAGGACAAGCCAAGGGCCCCCATCCCTGAGCTACAGCCCTTCTTACTTGGCTGAGCTGGAGTCCAAATCACTCAGCGGGGGCGGCCTGTAAAGTCGGCGCTGCTCAGCGGAGGCGGTGGCACTCACTGTGACCAAGCAGCTCGAAGGGCTTCTCGCCCTGAGGAAATGGGGGAATGTGTGTGTGAGTGGTCAGTGCTGAAGGCTGCCCTCTTCCAGGGCCAGAAGTCAGTCCACGAAGCTCTAGAAGGTTCCCACAGGGTCACACATGGTCCAAACTCTTCCCAGGACAGCCCAGGCCCCAGGCCCTGACTCTCTGGGATGTGCCTGTCAGGAGAGGCCTTGGGTCCCCCTGCTCTGAGTGCACCTCCCCTCCTAGGATGGGAGCTCCCAGGTGAAGTCAGGTGTTCTGGAAGAAGGTGAGCAGAGGCTCCTCACTCTGAAGGACCCACCACAGGCTGAGGCGGGGACATGGCAGGGATTGTGTTTCTGGGACCTCCACGTCTCGGTCACCCAACACAGTCATTGGAGTGAACGCCAACTCCTGGTCTACCCGTAGGCCCCTCCTCACTCCCAGACGACACTGGACAGCAAATGCTGCCCAAGCTGCCCACTGTCACTGTGGGCACCGCCCCTCTGGACCTCCCAGCTCCCACCTGCCCCCCGACCCCACTCCATCAGTTTCTCCAACATGTGGGCAGCCCTGTCACCTCTTCTGGCAAGCCTTCTAAGAAGGTGGTGTTGCCCTCTGTGTCCTTTCCTTTCCCAGGAACCCCACAGACACATCCTCAGGCTACGGCACAAGTCCAGGACACTGCCCCTGCCCATGGTGTGCTCTAGGAAGGACCGGGGACTGTGAACAACCTACCAAAACCATCATCGTCAACCAAAATGACAGGCCCTGCCATGAACGCATGACCCTGGCTGTTGGATGCAGTAGGGGTGTGGGGATGGCTGGGCAAGCTTGATGCCAGGTGGTAAGCCCCATTCACACCAGGGCACACTGTCCTCTCAGAGAGAGACCTTTAACCCCTCTTCCCTCCTAGCCTTTTTACTCTGACATGGCTCTCAGTCTGTGCTAACTGACTGGACCCTGAGGCTCCCAGCCCCCGAAACGTTCCTGGCCACTCACACCTGCAAGGGGAATAGGGCACACCTGGCCTCCAGCAACAATCCTGGCACCCACACTGCCCAGTCCTCACCTGCTGGGGGGGCCCTCGAGTTCAATGAGCGGCTCCTGGCCTGGAGGGCTTCTCGGGCCTTTCGGGCCACTGGCGTCTGCAGGCTGCAGACTGAGGGCAGCTGGGTCTTCCTGCTCCTCTCTTGGGACTGCAGGCCACTCCTGCCACACTTCTCCAGCCTGGGAGGCCACCTTCTGATCTTCTTTCCCAGAGAAGACACTGAGGAAGGACAGACACACTTATGGAGCATGTGCTATGGAGCCAGACTTCCCACTGCACTTTTCCCACCGGATGCACAGAGGGACCATCTTCTGCGGATGAGGCAACGTACACCCAGGCACACGTTCACCCTGTGAGCAGTGTCCTGGTGCTCCTACCACTTCAGCGAGCTGGTCAGAAACAAGTCTCCTCTTGCCTGGAAACCCAGTCCCCCTCGGCCCACTGCCCATCCCCCTGCCCAGCCGTTGAGTCAGAAGCCCTGTGAATATAATGAGGTACAGCTTCTCCTATGGACTGCACTGGTGGGCTGCAGTGGGGTGGGGACGGGTGGGGGCAGGACAGATACAGGGCCTGACATGGAGTGATGGGTCAGTTTATAACAAGTCCATCAAAAGGAAATCCCTAGGCCCAGGAGCTGAGGATGCTGGATTCTAGCCTATAACATCACAAAGAAGTCTGTCGTGAAGAACAGGACCCTGGAGCTGCCGTCGACTCTTCCAGCCTAAAGAGGAAACTTGAGGCAGGAGATTCTAAAGAGGGCTCCTACGGTGGGCACTATGTCACATGAAACGTACAGCTGTATGTTCCTGTCATAGATCAAAATACTGCTGTCCGTGGAAACGGAATGTGTAGATGTGTTGAGCGAGACACACTGGACGTAAACATTTAGGGAGTCCTGGAACTCTGCCCATTCCCCACTTATAAAGAAGTGAAGAGCCTCTTTCCTATCTTTTCACTCATTGTAGCTGGATGGGCCATGTGTTGCACCAGTACAGCCCCAAATTCAGGTGACAGGAGGATTGTCTTGTTCACTAGATTCTCACAAGGATGATGGCCTGAAAAAAGGGGAGACCCCCAAACCCAAACAAACTACTGTAGAGGTGAATTTGCCTCAAAGCAGCCATAGAAGGCAGGCTGGAATTGCTCCGGAAGTTTTCAAAGCTGCAAATCTTGATGGAAGCAGACTGCTTGATTTTTCTCCCCTGGATCGGATGGTGGGTAGGAGCAACTGACTTCAGTGAGCAGCCCAATGCTTAGCGTTTACAATATGGATTACTAACAGCACACTTAATTTTTTGTCATGTTGGTGTGGTGATGTAAAAAAAGCACTGAACTGCTAACCACACGGTCGGCAATTCAAACCTACCAGTCACTCTTGTTGTTGTTGTTGTTAAGTGCCTTCGAGTCGGAGCCGACCCATAGCGACCCTGTACAGGGTTTCCGAGGGTGTAAATCCTTACGGGAGTAGAAAGCCTCATCTTTCTCCCGCGGAGCGGCTGGTAGTTTCGAACCACTGACCTTAAGGTTTGCAGCCCGATTCGTAACCACTACGCTACCAGTCACTCTTAGGAAACCCTATATAAGGTCGCTCTGAGTCAGAGCTGACTCAGCACTTTAACGACAGTCCTTGGAAAACCAAGCCCACTGCCATGGACTCATAACTACCCTACAGGACACAGGACAACTGCCTCATAGGGCTTCTGAGACTGCAAATCTCAGGAGACAACCATATCGTTCTCCTGGGGGCGGCTGCTGGGTTTGAACCAGCAACCTTGAAGTTAACAGCCCAAAGCTTAAGCTCCCGCGCCACCTGGGCTCCTTAAAAAGGGGGCAGGGCTAAGAAAACCCAAAAGTTCCTTGGCAGACAGACCCGGCGGGCGGGCGGAAGGATGGGCAGGGCCTGGGGGATGCGGAGAGGGAGCAACCATAGGGCCCATCTGTGATCCTAGCGCGCCCTCAGGCGGCCGCTAAGAAAACGGTAGCATGAGAGGCGCCGCCGAGGTCGATTTCGACTCAACAGCAGTCGTAAGGTTGACAGTCACCTATCCAGATGTTGAATTTCCGGGTAGCTCTGCATGACAGACACTGAACTGCGAACCCCGAGGTCGGCGGCTCGAGCCCACTAGCCTCTGTGGGGGAGAAAGATGAGGCTTTCCATTCCCGTAAATAGTCACAGCCTCAAAAACCCTACACTGGCTCACTACGCACTGGAATACACTCCACCAACAAACAGCGGGCAAGCCCGGAGCTGGGGAATGGCGGCATGCGCAAACACAAAAGGACGCAGGCTCCTCCAGTTGCACAGGCACGCAGGAACAGCGTTTGATTGTGGAGCACACGCGCACACAGAGCCGCTATTCAAACCAGCGAAGTGAAGTCCCTGGGCACGCATAAAGCATCCGTTTTTTGGCAGCTGATACCTTCCAACTTAATTTATTGTGAAGGAGTAACAACTATTATTAGGAGGCAATAGCATTTTCACCCCCTTTTTACAGTTGAAAAACTTGGGTTACCTTGCAGCGAATTATAAGCAGGCAGGATGCAACTTGGCCGCCCACCTAATCACGTGACAGCTAGACCCTTCCATCTTGAAGCTTGGGACTAGAGCTAGGGGTGGGGCGAAGGGCTCATTCCTTAAATGTCCAATTGAAAGCAAAGGAGCTTCTCTGGAACTGAGCCCAGCCCTGGAACCACCCATGCTCTAACCATCTCTTGCCTTGCCCCCCACCCCCACCGCCACCCCCAAACAGCAGTTGTGAAGGTTTGGGTTTTACACTGAGGTGCAACCCATACTGAATGTTGTGCTCTTTGATCTTCATCAGTAAGTATTCTTCACTTTCAGCACATTGTGGGTTGTTACCGAGTCTCCCACCAATCCTGATGCCATGTTCTTCTTCATATAATCCAGCTTCTCAGATTATTTATTCAGCATCCAGATTGAATATGTATGGTGAAAGAATACAGCCCTGATGCACACCTTTCCTGATTTTAAACCATTCAGTGTGTCCCCTTGCTCCAGAGACGACAGAGAGAGAACGCCTTCCCCCAGGGTTGATGCCCCGAATTCAGACTTCTAGCTTCCTCAAGTGTGAGGGTCCTGGTGTGGCATTGTAGAGATAAGCGGTTCACACCCACCACTGTTCCTCAGAAACCTTATACAGGGTCTCTAGGAGTCAGAACCACTCCATGGCACTGAACAACAAGAAGAAACTGTGACAGAATGAATTTCCCTCCGTTTAAGCCACCCGCTTGTGGTATGTCTGTTACAGCAGCCCGCAGCAACCCAGACACCCCCTAAAAGGGGTGTGGGCGAGAGGAACACCATTACTGAGATCCCTGCCAGATCCCATATAAGGGGAGTTCCCCTGGGGTATGGCCTGGATCACCTTTTAAAACAACAAAAAGAGCTTTTTTTTTTTTTTTTTTTTGTGAATTGAGTGATAGTTTACATGGGAGAACATTGGTTTTGCACTCATCCTATTGTATTTCGTTTCATTGCAATGGTTACAATGCCTCCGTGCATCATCCTTCAACAGTATTTGCTTCTGTTCTGCATCACCTTTGATCTTACAAGTGAGAAGAGGAGGGAGAAAGGAGCAGAGAAAGAGACACCTGGCTACCACCAAAAAAGAAGAGTCAGGAGTGGAGGACATCTTTGGACCCAGAGTCCCTAAGCTACGAACCTCCTGGGCCCAGGGGAAGGTGGATGCCAAGATACATGGAGAGCACCAGGAAACCAATGGCGCACAGATGTTGAAAGGAGACAAGGACCTTCTTCGAGATCCCCTAGAGGAAGACCTCTGCCTTCAGGCCTCTCGTTTCCTCAGCTGTGAAGCAACACATCTCTGTTTATTGCAGTGCCCACTTGTGGCACTTCTGAGATTAGGGAGGGGCAGAGACCTGGTGGCATTACAGGTGGGCACATGTGCTGAGCCTCCCAGCCACCTTTCCCCTTGTTCCCAGTGTCTCCAACCAGAAGCCCAGGACAGGTTACTGCCTGAAGGGTGACCAGCCATTCACAACTGCCCATTTCTTAGGCTCTGCCTGACCTTGACCAAACTTGAGTCAGACTTTGATGCTCCTCACAGGCCCCTGAAGCTTAGCCTGGCCCCATGGCTGAGCAAGCATGTGCCCCCTTTATCGGCTTATCCTGAGAACTTCCTCAGCCAGTTGTTGTTGTTGTTAAGAGCTGTCGAGTCAGTCTCAACCCATAGTGACCCTGTATAGGGTTTCCAAGGAGCTGGTGATGTGCTTGAACCACCAACCTTGCAGTTCAAGCCAATGTTGCAATCCAGCGCATTAACCCACAGCACCACGAGTAACACAAATTCACTGCCGTGTCAAGTTTCTGGGTGCTTCTCTCACACACACTGGCTCCCAAAGGTAAGAAGAGTCGGGGCTGAGGGGAGCTCCCTAGCAGACAGGGAATGCACTGTCCTGCCTGCTATAGGCTGAAATCTGTATCAAAGCCCTGGCCCCTGGCCCTGTGGGTGTGACACAATTTGGAAATAGGGTTTCTACTGCATTAAGTTCATGGGGATGGATTCCAAACCTGATCATATTCTTTTGATAAAACAAGCCGAATCTACGGGGAGACACACACAGGGGAAAGATATATGCCATGGGCGTTCCCCTCTACAGGTCCAGACACACCCAGGATGGTCGACATCAATAGCTCATATGCAAGTTCAGGATGAAGCTGAAGAAAATTCAAACCAGTCCACGAGAGCCAAAATTTGACCTTGAACATATCCCACCTGAATTTCGAGATCATCTCAGGAACAGATTTGATACCTTAGACATTGATGACTGAAGACCAGAAGAGTTGTGAGATGATATCAAGAACATCATACATGGAGGCAGAGATGATGATGTGGAGAGATGGAGCAGCTGGGGACTTCTGACACAAAGAGAGAGGGGGGCTGTGTGCTGATGACCGGGGAGCAGGCTTGTAGTGTATACCCTTTGGTTGGTTGATGATGCATAGAGGGGATTGTAACCAAGGCAATGAAACGATATACGATAGGATGAATGTAAAACTGATGTTCTCCCATGTAAAATATCACATAATTCACAATAAAACATTTTTTTAAAAAAAGAACATCATACAGGGAGAAAGCAGAAGGTCATTAAGAAGACAAGATATGCAGATGATATAGCCTTGCTTGCTGAAAGCAAAGAGGACTTAAAATATTTACTGATGAAAATCAAAGACCACAGCCTTAGATATGGGTAGCATCTCAATGTAAAGAAAACAAAAATGCTCACCACTAGACAATAAACAACATTCTTATCAATGGAGAATATAGAGAAGTTGTCAAGGACTTCATTCTTCTTGGATCAACTATCAAAACTCATGGAAGCAGCAGTAAAGAAATTAAACGATGTGTTGCATTAGGCAGATCTGGTGTACAAGACCTCTTTAAAGTGTTCAAGAGCAAAGATGTCAGCCTGAGGACTAAGGTGCACTTGATCCTGGTCCTGGTATTTTTCAATTCTCTCATATGCATGTGACTATTGGACAGTGACTAAGGAAGACAGTAGAAGAATTGATTAGTTTGAATTGTTGATGATACAGATTTGTTGGAGAAGAATATTGAAAGTACCATGGACGGCTAAAAGAACGAACAAATCTGTGTTGGAAGGAGTGCAGCCAGATTAGAAGCCAGGATGGCCAGACTTCATCTCTCCTACTTTGGACATATTATCAGGTGGCACCTGTCCCTGGAGAAGGACATCAGTGTTAGCTAAGTGAAGGGTTAGGGAGAAAGAGGACAATTGAGAGGATGGCTCAGTGTTTGGTTCTGTTGAGCCGCAACTGACTCAATGGCACCTCTCAACAACAACATTAGAAGCTGGAGTCCTGGTATGGTGCTATAGAATCAGCACTGGAGTACGAACCGCAAAGTTGGCAGTTCAAGCCTAGCGGCTTCTCCTCGGAAACCCTATACAGGGTTGCTATGAGTGGGAACCGACATGAAGGCAGTGAACAACAACAGCATTAGAAAGTGAAATCGACAAGGCAGGACTGCCTCTGACAACCACACCCTGAATTGGGATTCCTAGCCTATTCAAGTGAGACACTGAATTTCTGTTCTTTAGAGCTTCCTATCTGTGGTGTTTCCATTATAGGAGCACTAGCACGCTTGGACTTATGGGATGAATCTTCTTTAAAAACAAAATCTGTATTTTACAGGACAGCCTGCTCCCCAAAGTAGCCTCTAGTCTACTTAATTAGGAGTCCTGGTGGCACGGCAAGTTAGGTTGCAAACTTCAAGGTCGGCAATTGAAAAACTCACCCACACTCAAGACGTGCTTGCGCAAAGACCCTTATGCGGTTGGGACCCAGTCACTCTGAGTTGGAATCCACTCGGTAGCAGTGGGTTTGGGTCAATCTAATCATGGAGCCTCTGTGCTGGAAGCCCCAGGACCATAGGCAGTTTCCTTCCATTTCCTTCTAGTTGAGCTCGGAAGAGGAGTCCTAGGTACCTACCACCTGGCTGGCCATAGCAGACCCCTGCCTGAGCCCACCATTACCTGGCTCTCTCCTTCTAGTGGTACTGTCCAGAGTAATCGCCCCCCCCCCCCATCATTGGTGTGGGGAGCTCTCTGGACAAGGCTCTGAGTTTGAAGTCTGCGGGACAGATGGCTTCAGGAGAAGCAACACACACACACACACACAGAGCCCCCAAGGCCACACTGCCAGCCACAGTGTCATAGCCACTACTTCACCCTGTCCCTTTCCCCGCTCTGTCTGTCATCCCATAAGTAGCGCATGCCTACGACCCCGCTCTAGAGCACTGGGCCTTAGGATGGGCCTCTTCTCATTCCGTAGCAGTGTCCACAATCCCGGCCATGGGGCCCCAGACCTCACCTGCCCGTGTGGCCTTCCAGTTCAATGAGTGGCTCGGATCCTGGGGGGCTGCTTGGGCCCTCGGGGCTGCGTATGTCTGCAAGCTTCAGACTGGCGGCAGCTAAGTCTTCTTGCCCCTCTCTTGGGGCTGTGGGCCACTCCTGACCTACTTCTCCAGCCTGGGTGGCTACCTTCTGATCTTCATTCCCAGAGAGGACCCTGAGGAAGGACAAACACGAATGTTGTGAGGTCAAGCTGCACACTGTCACCTCCTGGGCGTCCAAAGGGACTGTCTTCTGAGGGTGAGGCTCAGAGCTTCCAGGTACATCCCCAGCCCATGAGCAGGTCCATACATCCTCCAAGCTCCCAGCTCCCCACTCAATCCTGCGCATAAGGGCTGGCCCCTAGGGTCAAGGGCAGAGAGCTCCGCACCCCACTCTCCAAACTGCTGCCCTCACAGCCCCACCCATCATTCCAGCCTCAAAGGTGACACACTGCTTTCCGTAACTTGGGCAAGCACGGGGCCTTGTTATTGGTGCCACAATCTTAGCACTGTAAAAAGGTAAAATTCAAGTTTCCCATCACTCTGAACTCAACTCTCCCAGAGTCCTCAGTTTTCGGGTTGCCTTTGATCACTGGGGCCACACTAGCAATTCACACTCCTGCTGGCTCCCACCAGCTGGGACTGCTTTTGTGGAAGTGTCCCTGCCTTTGAACTGCAAGGAGCTGTGCAGCCACCCGTTTCCAACTGTGCCCCTAAATCACTGCACTCTATAGTCTATTAAGAAATTTGGGGAGGCTGGGATGGAAGACAGGCTGTCTGTGGCCTGTCAAGTCAAATCAGACCCACAGTGTTCTTGAACAGTTTGGGGAAAGCAGGCATCTCCACAGAGCTGTTTTATTATTTACTGTGAGCGTTTTTTTCTTTTCAAAACCGGACACTGCCTTAGTACTTACTTGTGCCAGGAAATGTTTTACACACTTTGCATATGTAGACCCATTGACTCCTCACAGCAACCCAATGCGTACCAGCTGTTTTGAGTCTGCGAACCTCAAGGTCAGCAGTTCGAAACTACCAACTGCTCGGTAGGAGAAAGATGAGGCTTTCTGCTCCCGTAAAGATTTGCAGTCTGGGAAACCCTGTATAGGGTTGCTATGAGTCGAACCGACTCCACGACTCATAACCACCACCACCACCACCGCATAGGGGAGGAAACTGAGGCACAACGAAGCTGAGTACCATGCTGAAGACCACAGAGCTAGTGACAGTGCTTGGAGTCAGGTTGCCTGGGCCAAGCTGAGCCCAGGCCGTTAAACACTATCCATGTCTCTCTATTCGTGTACGGAACCAATGTACAGTAGAGCAGACTCCTGAGCATGTGAGACATGGCTTTGTAGCACATTAAGGCAGGGCTGCCAGCTCTACAGGGTCTGGCCATCTGTCCCCCTGGTCCTCGCTCCTCCCTCACTGTCCCATCACTGGGTCCCACGGCCTCGGACAGTTCTGCAGACCACTCTTGGACCAGTCTGGGACCCGCTGCAACGCCCAGCCAAACAGCGGGGGAGGGGCCGGGGCGGGGCTTATGGAGCGGCTAGACCCTTTTATGATCCTGGCGCGCCATCGTGCGGCCTGTGTGAGCATGGCAGGAGGAGAAGCAATCCCAAGGCTGAGTTTGCCTGGGACGGTCATTTCCCTGTATTGGTCTTCACATTTCCTGGCGGCCACTGCGCAGAACCTAAGGTTGAAGAAATGGCGGTGCGCGCGGGCATATGGTGGCACGCGCGCGCAGGCGCAAAGCGTTCGTGTTTGGGGCTCAAGTGCACATGCGCAAGTAGGATATGCACCCGCTTAAAACTGGTACGAATTTGGCGCGCACGCACACGCTAGGACTACAAGCGCGCAGGCGCACAAAGTTCTGCATCTGCTGCTTGGGGACCTGTGAGGCACGTGGGACTTCTTGGTGTCCACTTCCGATGCCCACAGAGGTCGAGAGAGCGCTCTAGACTTTCCCCATCTCCGTACTACCTACTCAAGCCGAATAATTCTTTGTTTTGGAGACTGCAGGGATGTTTTCACTCATCAGATGCCAGAAGCACCACTTAAATCGTAACAGAAAAGCCTCTAGACATTAACAAGTGTCCCCAGACGATCGACCAGGGTTCAGAACCACTGGCCCCCAACAATGCACCTGGACTGAACCTGAAAATACATGGGGGTTATAAAAGTGGAATCATAGTGTGGACCTGTTGTTGTTGTTAGGTGCCATCGAATAGGTACTGACTCATAGCGACCCTATGCACAACAGAACGAAACACTGCTCGGTCCTGGGCCAACCTCACAATTGTTACCACGCTGTACCAATCCATCTCGCTGGGGGTCTCCCTCTTTATCTCTGACCCTCCACCTTACCAGTCACTTCTCCAGTGACTGGTCTCTCCTGACAATATGTCCGAAGTATGAGAGACGAAGTTTGGCCATCCTGGCCTCCAAGGAGCATTCTGGCTGCATTTCTTCTAACACAGATCTGTTGGTTCTTTTGGCAGTCCATGGCACTTTCAGTATTCTCCTCCAACACCACAACTCAAAGGCATCAATTCTTCTCGATCTTCCTTATTCACTGTCCAGCTTTCGCATCCATATGAGGTTATTGAAAATACCATGGCTTGGGTCAGGCACACCTTAGTCCTCAAGCTGACATCTTTGCTCTTCAACACTTTAAAAAAGTTCCTGTGCAGCAGATTTCCCTAATGCAATACATCGTTTGATTTCTTGACTGCTGCTTCAGTGAGTGTTGATAGTTGATCTGAGCAAAATGAAGTCCTTGACAACTTCAATCTTTTCTCCATTTATTCTGTGAGGATTTTTCTTTTCTTTACATTGAAGTGGAATCCACAGCGAAGGCTATCGTCTTTGGTCTCCCTCAGTCAGTATTTCAAGTCCTTTTTTCTTCCAAAACGCAAGGTTGTATTGTATGCATAATACTTGTTGTTGATAAGTCTTCCTGAACGTACTTCTTCATACAGTCTAGCTTTATACAACCAAACCATGCAAGCATTTAAGCATTAGGATTTAAACATCTGGACTCTCACAAGAAGTGCATCCGTTGGTTTCTGCTGTAAGATTATAGAAGAACCCAGTCCTCCACAGGGCTTGAGAAGGTCTCATGAGATCCTGCACACAGCGGACTTTGCACATGGAATCAGCTCGTGGTTTTACTGGCTCAGATTTCATGAACTAGCTCTTTTTCGTTTCTCCTGAGGGTCTTACAGCCTATTGCTTCAAGACTCTGCTCTGCCTCTTGTAAAGCCACACACCAGTCACGTGACTTTTGCACTTCCGCTTGCTCATCTCATCTGTTTCCCAGTGATGCTAGGAAGACTGAGAGCTGATGCAAAGCACATAGCACAATACAATCAGCCTCTGACTCCTGGTTCAACACAATAAGAACACTGTGCTCCATAGAGTTTTGTTGGTTAATTTTCAGAAGTAGATTGCCAGGCCTTTCTTGCTGGTTTCTCCCAGTATGGGAACTTCACTTAAACATAGCTCCACACAAGCCTCCATTGACAGACAGGTGGTGGCTGGGAATCGAACCTGGGGCTCCCTGCACATGCAAGGGGAGAATTCTACCAGTGGACCACGTCTGATGCTCTTGTTTTCACCAATCCCTATAGCAGGGCCTCATACCTTAGAGATTCATGGGGGTGGGGTATCACCTGGGTTCAGTGGGGGTAACAAATATTTTTAAATGCAATATTGTTGAGAAACCTAAATCAGACCATATCTCTCTGGCTTAAAACTTGGGATCAAATCCCACCTCTGATCCAGGCTTCCTAAGAGTTGCAGCAGTCTGTGTGTTGAAGATTATTGTTGTTGTTAAGTACCGTGGAGTCAGTTCCAACTCATTGCGACCCTGTATAGATAGGGTTTCCCAGAAGCGGCTGGTGAGTTTGAACTTCCGACCGTGTTGTCAGCTCCTTTATCTACAACTCTAATCCTGGCTCATTCTTCTCTTCTTTAGAACTTGCCTACTCCTCCCTCACCTAAGCAGTTGGCCTCCTCAGCGCATCCCTCTGTTTCAGTCCCCTGGCAGTTTCTGTCAGAGCACTATTGTCTCTGCGAAGGTGCAGAGACCTATCCTTCACGCCATTGTTCTTCATTGCATCTGGTGTGAACTTCTCAGGATTGTGGGGAGGGCTGGATGCAACACCAGAGTACATACAACTTTCACCCTCTCAGGGACCAACTTTTTTTCTACTTTGTTTTTATAATAGAAGGCATTTCAAAATGATATTTTTTTTTATGAATATGGGTTTTGACACAATTAGTGGGGCACATATGTCTAACTGGTTGGTCTCTGATACTGGGATTGGTGGGATGTGGCCCGTTTCATCTGACTCACACAATTATACAGGTCCCCACCAGATGGAAGTATGCACTAAAAATGGGATAGCACCTTTCCACTAAACCCCAGACATAGAACGTGTAGGTAGGTGGGCACTATATGTCCCATGGGTCATGAAAGCGTTCACATCATGGTAGAAAAGGCCCATCAGTCCCTGCCCACCTCTCCCCAAAAGACCCTCAGCTCCAGTCATGCTCAATCTCTATAGTGCACAGGCAACAGGTGGCCCTTCGGAGCCGTTTGTGTGCGCTGATCGCTCTGCTTGGAAGGGCTCCTATTTGGCTTACCTCTTTGCATTGGTCTCCGTGTCCTCCAGACCTGTGGGGGGTATGCCCTTCCCATCCAGGCCGACAGAGGCCAAAGGTGCACTGGAGCTAAGGAAGGAAATATACCAGCCTGCTGAGGCCTCAAACCTACGAGGGTTGGCGGCCCGGGTATTCCCTTCTTACTCCATTTCTTCCAGGAAATGGAGATGGGCTGGTGTATGCTAGCAAAGGCCAGCTGCTCATTCCCGGCATTGGGTGATGTGGTGGCATCACATAAGTCCTGAATTTGGCCTTTGCACTTGCATTCAGGGATGATCCTTGCCCCTGACCAACTTGGATCTCTGGGGATGGCTCCGCCTGGTTTTCAGCTATGATAGCCTCACCTAACCTACCTCCCAAATTTCTTGTGGGGGGCCTGGAAGATCATTCTTCCTAGGGCTTACTAACTATCCCCCATGCCCACGGCAAAATGGCCGCTCCTGTGAGGCCAGGTGGGCTGGAGGAAGATACAGGGCAGAGGCCTTGAACTTGAACTTTGCCTACCCAGCCACCTGCCCCCTAGGACTGAGGCCTCCAGTGCAGGCTGGCTGTCCCCTGGAATTTCTCTTCCTGGCACGTGGTTGCTGGGCTGAAGTCCTTACAGGCAAGGTTCCCTGAGACTCTTCAGTGGGGACACCAACTTGTCCCTCCTCCTCCATTGCCCCTAATGGACATGGAGCAGAAAACTGAGAAGAGCAAGGGAATCTCGGGAATTGGAAGCCCAGGCTGAGCCCAGAAGTTGTGTCTATAATGATCTTAGTCCCCAGAAGTTACCCTGTCCCTACCTGGTGGCCACGAGTCCAGGCTTATGGTTCTGATAGCTGGTGTCATGCATACTCCGGTTATCCAAGAGTGGAGCAAAGTGAGCAGCCGGGCACAGCCTATGGAAGGAGACCATATCTGGGTCAAGGCAGTATCGATCAGGGCAAGGTAAGCACAGGCTGACTTGTGCTTACTCACGAATTTGTAGTGAATAAATTCCCTGTTTTGTTTTTTACCACATCAAAGATTCTGCTTCTAGATCTAGCTGGCCTCTGTCTCTCTGCCTACCCCACAACCCCATCCCACTGAGTCAAAGCCTCTTTTCAAATGTACAGTCCCTGTCTAGAATGGAGGAACCAGTCAGCAAGGAACCTCATCAAAAGTGTGCAGCAGCGGGCGCATGAGCAACGTGGTGTAGTGGTTCAACTTGGTTCCTGGAACCCAGTGGATCAGTTCAGATCCTGGCCACCTACCTCCTACTTGCATAATGCTGGGCAAGTTACTTAACCTTTGGGCCCTAGTTTTATTTTTTTTAAAAATGTTGGCTAAAGGCAATACATTTAGAAGCTCTAACTACTGCAAAATTCGATGGCTTTTCATCTATGACCACCACTCGTCTGTCAGGTGGTCATGCTGTGGTGACTTGTGTGTTCCTGTGAATTTGGAAGCTCTGCCATGAGTACTTAAAATACCAGCAGGGTCACCCAGGGTGGACAGGTTTCAATGGAGCTTCTAGACTAAGGCAGACTAGGAAGGAGAGACAAACTACTTCTGAATATTAAGCCACTGAAAACCTTAGGAATAGCGCTGGAACACTGTCAAATAGCACCAGAATATTTCATTTAAAAACATTATGAAGAGCACTACACGATTTTCAGATAAAGTGCCAGAAGATGAGGCTCCTCAGGTGGGAAGAGCTGCCTCCTCAAAGTAGAGTTAACCATGATGATGCAAATGGAGTGAAGCCTTCAGGACCTTCATTTGCTGATGGGGCACAACTCAAAATGAGGAGAAACAGCTATAAACGTCCATTAATAGTCATAACATGGAATGTATGAAATATGAGTCTAGGAACACTGGAAGTTATTTAAGTTGAAATGAAACACATAAAAGTGGGATAGCATTCGTGAGCTGAAATGGACTGGTATTGACCATTCTGATTCTGACAATCACATGGTTACTATGCTGGGAATGACAAGTTGAAGAGGAATGGCATCACAGTCATCATCAAAAAGAACATTTCAAGATCTATCTTGGAAGTACAACGCTGTCTATGGTAGTATAATATTCATATGCCTACAAGGAAGACCACTCAATACCACTATTACCCAGATTTACTCATCAACCACTAGAGCCAATGATGATGAATTTGAACAATTCTACCACCTTCTTCAGTGTGAAATTGATTAAATATGCAATCAAGTTGTATTGATAATTACTAGGGATTAGAATGCAAAGGTTTGAAGCAAAGAGGAAGGATCAGTAGTTGGAAAATATGGCCTTGGTGATAGAAATGATGCTGGAGATCGCATGATAAAACTTTGCAAGATCAATGACTTCTTCGTTGCAAATATCTTTTTTAAACAAAATAAAAGATGACTTTATACATGGGCCTCACTAGATGGAATACCCAGAAATAAAATAGACTATATATGTCGAAAGAGACGGTGGAAAAGTTCCATATCATCAGCCAAAGCAAGGTCAAGTACAGACTGTGGAACATACCTTCAATCGCTTATATGCAAGCTCAGGCTGAAGCTGAAGAAAATTAAAACAAGTTCAAGAGAGCCAAAATATGACCTTGAATAAATCCCATCTGAATTTAGAGACTATCTGAAGAATAGCTTTGATGCATTAGACACTAAAGACAGAAGATCAGAAGAGTTGTGGGGTGACATCAGGAACATCATACAGAAAGAAAGCAAAAGGTCATTAAGAAGACAAGAGAGAAGGAAAAGATCAAAATAGATGTCAGAAGAGACTCTGAAACTTGCTTTACAGCATAGAGATGCTAAAGCAAATGGAAGAAATGAAGAGTTACAAGAGCTGAACAGAAAATTTTAAAGGGCAGGTCAAGAAGACGAAGTCAAAGATTATGACAATATGTGCACAAGACCTGAAGTTAGAAAACCAAAAGGGAAGAATATGCTCAGCATTTCTCAATCTGGGAGAACTGAAGAAAAAATTCAATCTCGACTTTCAATACTGAAGGATTCTTTGGGCAAAATATTGGATGATACAGAAATCATCAAAAGAAGATGGAAGGACAACTGTAAAGGTATAAGTTTTGTAACAAAAACGGGAGAGTAGTTAATCTTACAGTCCAGAAACAGAGGACCCTAGGACCATCAAGGGAGAGGAGCACTGTGGGAACTTATCCAGAGAACCAGAGATAGAGGCAGAGATGAGGACATGGAGAGAGGAAACAGCTGAGGACTCTAGACTCATGGAAAGGGACTGAGTCCTGGGGGCCAGGAGGCAGGCTTACAGAATATTATGTCCTTTGGTAGTTTAATGTATTATATATTCCTGAGTGTGTTTGTGCACATCTCCCCATCCCCTCCACCCCCTCTCCAAAAAGAAGAAAAACAGGGAATGGAAGGAAATACTGTTGAATGATGATGTACAGATGAGATTGTAATCATTGCAATGAAACGATTGTGTAAAGCGATGTTCGCCCATGTAAACTATCACTCAGTTCATAACAATAAATAAATAAAAAGAAGATGGAAGGAATATACAGAGTCACCCTACCAAAGATAGCATGAGATCAAGAGCCAGTGATCCTGAAGGAAGAAGTCCAAGATGCACTGAAGGCATTTGCTAGGAACAAACAAGGCTCTGGGAATTGATGGAATACAAATGGAAATCTTTCAACAGACTGATGCAGCACTGGAGGCACTCACTCATCTCTGCCAAGACATTTGGAAGACAGCCAACTGATTGTAAGAAATCCATATTTGTTCTCATTCTGAAAAGAAGTGACCCAGTGGAATGCAAACCCCATGGGATAACATCATGAATATCACATGCAAGTGAAACTGTAAAATGGCGGCAACAGTACACTGACAGGGAACTGGCAGAGATTTAAGTCGGACTTAAATGAGGATGTGGAACGGGGGACATGGTTGCTGATGTTAGATGGAACTTGCCTGAAAGCAGAGAATACCAGAAAGATGTTTACCTGTGCTTTATTGAATATTCAAAGGCTTTCCACTGTATGACAAGCTATGGGTTACATTACAGAGAATGAGTGTTCTGGAACACTTAATTGTGCTCATTAGGACCTGTACATTGAACATAACAAGAGAACAATGAATAGTTTTTTTAAAAAAGGAAAGATGTGCACCAGGGCTGTATTCTTTCACCATACTCATTCAACCTATATGCTGAGCAAGGAATCCAAGAAACTGGGCTATATAAAGAAAAATATGGCATCAGGATTGGAGGAAGACTCATTAACAACCTGTGATATGCAGATGATACAACCTTGCTTGCTGAAAGTGAAGAGGACTTAAAATACTGATGAAGAACAAAGACCACAGCCTTCAGTATGGGCTGTATCTCAATGTGAAGGAAGCAAAAATCCTCACCACTGGTCCAATAAAGAACATCAAGATAAATGGAGACAAGATTGAATTTGTTACCACAGGCTCTGAGGATCAGACTTTAGCCACCTAGCAGACATAGCAAAATGTCCCTTATCTGATTATTCAGTTATGCTGGTTAGTAATTCCATACATGAGCCCTGGATACCCACAGATAAATGTAAAAACCTTCCCTAAAAGCTGAGACTGTAAATTCCAAAAAGGCAAAGTTCCCCCCCCCCCCAAAAAAAAAGCTAAAGAGGATAGAGAGAAACACTGTTAACTGATGGTATGTGGAGGGGATTATAATCAATGTAATAAAACAAGGTATATGAATGTTTGAATGTGAAACCGATGATGTGCCCTGAAAACTTTCACTCAATCCACAATAAAAACCTTAAAAAAAAAAAAAAAAAAGATTGAATTTGTTAAAAACTTCATTTTGCTTTTATCAATCATCAACCCTCAAGGAAACAGCAGTCAAGAAATCAAATGATGTATTTTGCATTAGGCATATCTACTGCACAAGACCTTTTCAAAGTGTTGAAGAGCAAAGATGTCAGCTTGAGGACTAAGGTGTGTCTGACCCAAACCATGGTATTTTCAGTAACCTCATATGCATGCAAAAGTGGAATAGTGAATAAGGAAGACCATAGAAGAATTGATGCCTTTGAGTTACGGTGTTGGAGGAGAGTATTAAAATTACTATGGACTGCCAAAAGAATAAACCAATCTGTGTTGGAAGAAATACAACCATAATGCTCCTTGGAAGCCAGAATGGCCAGACTTCATCTCTCATACTTTGGATATACTGTCAGTATGGACCAGTCCCGTAGAAGGATATCATGCTAAGTACAGTGGAGGGTCAGTGAAAAAGATGAAGACCCCTAATGAGATGAACTGTCACAGTGGCAGCAGCAATGGGCTCACACTTAACAATGACTGTGAGGTTGGCCCCAGACTGGACAGTGTTTCATTATGATATACATAGGTCACTATGAGTCGGTATCAATCAACAGCACTTAACAATTCCTCTGTGAATTCAGCAATTGTTTTTTTATTCAGCACTGCCTGTGCTGAATCAATTGGTTTGGGCTTTGTTGTCTTGTTTTGGTATGCCAGGCACAATCCCTTCAAAATAACTTATTTAAAGATGGTGAATCATTCTACTATATTAATGTTGTTGTTGTTGTTAAGTGCCGTCGAGTCTGTTCCGACCCACAGCGACCCTGTACAGGGTTTTCAAGGCTGCAAATCTTTATGGGAGCAGAAAGCCTCATCCCACGGAGCTGCTGGTAGTTTTGAACTGCTGACCTTAAGGTTCGCAGCCCGATTCGTAACCACTACACTATATTAATAGCCCTCACTTTATTTTGCCAGTTCCCTGGTGTTAAACAAGGAGCTCTGATACAGGGTCGTTAGGAGTCAGAACTGAGTTGACTTGACGGCACATAGCAGCTGCCGCTAATGGTAGACATTAAGGGTGTTTTCCTATTTTTCAATATTATAAATAAGACTGCAGTGAAAGCTCTTCTGGGTGAAAAGATGTATAGATTCCAAAGGCTTTTGGTATTTACTGCCAAATTGCCACTCGGAGAAGATGTGGTGATTACGGTGGCTCCAATATTGAGAGAGAATGGAAGGCCAAGATTTGGGGCAGGTGCAGTTGACTGAGACCTAAGTAGCTTCCGAAGGATAGATACCCTGAGCATTTCAAAGCAAGCTGTGGCATTTGAAAGACAGTGGATTGTAGTGTTATCATCTGGGAAATGCTTGTTCCGCGTCTCCTCCCATCTCTGACCTGCCGTCCCCAGGTTGAGCCACATGCTTGGCTCTCGGCTTTCTCTCAACCAGGTAGACTGGTGCTTACAGCGACTCCTTTGGAGTATAAGATATGGAAGCACAAAAAATCAAAGAATATTCTTCATTCTGATGAGGTTGACATTTACTTTGACGGAGGACACTTATGAGCTTCTGTTTCTTTCTTTTTTCAAAGTATCTTGATTTTTTTTTTTTACAGTTTCTGCAGATGCTCAGTCGCAGATGTTCAAAGACTGAATTTATAATGATACTGAGAATAAAAGGCAATCATAATGAAAACTAAAAAAAGAAAAGAATGAGGTATTTGACTGACATCAGAACTGACTTTGATGGAATGGTCAGAACATAACAACCTAACTACCTGGACCTCTATAGGAAGCGAAGAACACCTAGGACCGTGGGTAACACCTGGAAGCTAGGAGGGAGTCCAGGAAGACTTGCTCTCCCAGAATTCGAGAAGTAGCCAGGGCAGCCGTGCCCCTGCATCCATCTCCAGAAGGGAGACGCAATCCATGGCTGATCCTTCAAGGCCGCCGCTTTGTGGCACTTGGTTACTTACAGAGCTCCAGGAAGCCCAGCCGCAAACTGACTCACAGACGCCCAGGTGCTGGGCGAGCCTCAGGTGGAGCCGGCTGTGTGGGGAGGGCCCACCGCAGCTCGGCCATCCCCGGGGTGGGGGGAACCCCTGCTCAGTCAGTGTCTGCTGGTCCCTGCCTTGCTGGCTTGGGCTCCTGCATTTAGAGGTCAGGTCCGAGGGCTCCCGTTTGCCTTGCAAACGATTAAAGTTAGGGTGAAAAGCGCCGCCTCCCCCCAACGCCCCAACGCCCCCCCTGCCCCTACTATGGGCTTTGAGAGGGGCAGCCGGGAGCAGAGGCAGGAAGCTGTTTCCTCCTGGGGACACCCTACATGGTCCAGCTAATGTCTTTGGGTGGCAGACTCCAGCTTGGCCACCTCTCTCTCTGTCTACTCTGGCCACCTACAGAGAGCCTCTAGGGCCCTCCCACAGTTGGGAGCAGAGTTATTTGTGCCAACAGCCATGCATACCTGGCATTTGTCCTCAGGGATGACTCTGACTTGGTTTGGAAATACTTGGGGTACCTACAGCCCTACAGACTTCTGCTCTTCCTCTCAGTGCCAGGGCAGAGGTGGCTGGGGCAGGGGCAGAAGCAGGGACTTTAGGGTTTCTCGAAGGGACAGAAAAAGCAGGCAAAAAGAAGGAAGGTACAGGCTCATGCGTCACTCACTCGCTCAGCGCCCACATGCCACCCCAGGAGGCTGCTGGACCTCCAGCTGTGAATGGTGCCTTGTACCTTGTACCGGTTCCAAGGCAGCTTGAGAGCAATGGGTGGCAGAAAGAGCAAGATTCCCGCAGAAATGGATAGGACAGTTACAGGGCTGGAGACTGGGAACGCAGTGGATGAAATGCAAGAGTGAACCCTGTCCACCCCAGCACCCAGGCAATCTCAGCAGGCTGGGGACTGTCAACTGCTGCTTACCCTCCTTTCCCGGAGCTGCTGTCTGCTCCAAGCCAGCCTTCAGGTGCGGAGCCTGGGGCTGCCAACCCCAAGTGGCCATCACTCGGCAGTGTGCTGGACCTGTGGTTGGAAGAGATGCTTCTATAGACTGGTCGAGGTCTCCTAATAACAGGTCCAGTCCCTTCAGCAAGTGGGCCTGTGTTTCTTCAAACTGGATGGACTGGGAGCCAGAGTGGACCTAAGAATCAGCTAAGGAGGATGCTGGCCCAATGGTCAACAGGATAGGGGGAAAAGTGTTTGGGACTGCCATGCGCCCTACAGCCTGGGGCAGGAGACAAGGCCCTCCTGGGCATCTGAGGCTCCTTTTCCTCATTCCAAGGCTCCCCCCGCCAATTGGCTTCCAATGCACCCCCATGAAGAAAATGCCCACCCCAAGGCAGTTCTAGGGTGGGGGTAGGTGTGGGAGGACTTGGCCCTTGTGTCCCCCAAATCTATCCTGGTGAGAAAGGTCTATGTAGAATTGCTGTGTGTTTTGCCGTGTATTTTCTCAATAACAACAACAAAATTAAAAACGAAAAAGCCGCTGAAATCTTAACTTCTGTGTTACTTCTGTAACTTGTGACCCTGTCTGGAAACAGGGGTTTCCTTTCATTATGCTTCTGAGGTCAGAGGGGAGTTGGTTGTGTCCTAAATCTAATCCCTTCTGAGAAGTGTCTTCTACACAGAGACACCTAGAGTGCAGGGGTTTGTGGGGTGGGCATATTGAGAATCCATCTACCAGTCAAAGAAAGCCAAAAAACACCCAGGCTACCAACTAGGAAGACCCCTTGCCAGGCCCTGATTTGGACTCTAGCCCCCAGAGAGGTTGAACAATAAGCGAAGCTGCTACCCTTGACCACCACCCCACCACCCACTAAGCCTCCGTTTGAGTCCAGGCTGTCGGGGAAGCCCTTGTTGATGGTCTCTTTGGACCCTGTACACGGGGCTCCCCAAATGCAGTGGCCTATGTATGCTCTTCCAATAGTAAGAAAGCATGAACCCCAGGGTGGACCTGGGGCTCATTCCATAATTCCTTCATTCATTTTCTCAACAGCCAATTCTCAAGGGACACAGCTTTGGTCCCAGCCTACGGCAGGCTGGGGGCGCTGACTCGACAATGCAGCTCAGGTGTACCAGGGCCCCATGTCCTGGGGATGAAAGCCCCCCTCCCTGCTGTGAGTTACCTTTCAGAATCTGCCTCACCAGCCAAGTCCCTCTTGTGCTCTCTGGGGCTGGGGGCCTCCGTGTCTTTGTGGCCTGGTGGGGAGCTACAGAGGAAAGACATGGAAATTCCTCAGCGGCTCACCCTCATCCCCAGGATCCTAAGAAGCTCATCAGTCATAGCCACTGTTTAGCGAGGGCCACACACCATGCAGGACCATCGCTGCATTCACCACCCCACCTCTACCCCAGCTCATGGTATTGTTCTTATCCATGGCCACTTTTCAGATGAGCAGACTGAGGCTCTGAGAATCGGAGACAGGAAGGTGGGTCCTGACCACCTAACTTAGCCCTCTCTGGGCTCGACGAGGTCACGGAGAGATGCCTGGCACTGTTGACCCAGCAGAGCCCTCCTCAGACCTGCATTCCCACCTCCCTCCTGAAGGCCCAGGGCTGCTCTTCCTTGAAAAATCTGCTCCCATAGCCCCCATGCCTGCATCCTTCTAGGTCTGGACTTACAGACAGACTGCCTCACCTCTCCTGCTGCCACTCACCACCCCCACCTCAGTCAAGAATGGTCTCCCACAGGTGCGTATTCTACAGTGCTCTCTGCATGTTGGGCCATACCTTTTGGAGCCCTGGTGTGGCGCTGTGGGGTAACACACGGGACTGTAAAGTCGGTTTGAACCACAAGGTTGGCAGTTCAAATTCACCAGCTGCTCCTTGGAAACCCTATAGGGTCTCTGTGAGTCAGAACAGACTCAAAGGTACTTAACAACACCAACACCAACAACATGCAGGGCTTCCAGAAAGTGCTGCTTTAAAGTGTTGTCGTAAAGTGTCTTCAAGTCGGTTCCAACTCATAGTGTCTAGGTTTGAACAACTACCTTGCGGTTAGCAGTCCCGGCACCACATTGATGGTCGTGGTGGTGTGGCGTGGAATTGGTTCCAACTCACAGTAACCCTGCATAGGGTTTCCAAGGCTGTGAATCTTTATGGGAGCAGAAAACCTCATCTTTCTCCCATGGAACCGCTGGTAGTTTCAAACTGCTAACTGTGAGGTTAGCAGCCTGACTCACAACCACTCTATTTGTTAAAAAAACAAAAACAAAAAACCACAGTATCTGCAAAGTGCGATAAAGTGTTGTCGTTGTTGTGAACTGCCCTCAAGTCCTTTTTGACTCATTGCTGTTGTTTAGTGCTGTCAAGTCAGTCCCCACGCATAGTGACCCTGTATAGAGTTTCTGAGAAGCAGCTGGTGAGTTTGGACCTCCAACCTTGTGGATCAAACCGACCTTGAAGTCTGGTGCTTATATTATAGTGCATGTTGTTGGTGTTGTTAAGTACCATTGAGTCGGTTCCAACTTGACCCTATCTAGGGTTTCCAAGGCTGTGCATCCTTGTGGGAGCAGCCAGCCTCTTCTTTCTCCTTCAGAGCGGCTGGTGGGCTGGAACCCCCAACCTTTTGGTTCTAAGTCCAGTGTTTTTTGTACAGAGCCAGCACGTTCCCGCAGTGGAGGGAAGCACCACAACAGGTTGTTGTTGTTGTTGTGAAGTGCCGTCGAGTCGTTTCCGACCCATAGCGACCCTGTATAGGGTTTCCGAGGAGCAGCTGGTGAGCTTGAACCAACGACCTTGCAGTTCAAAAGGCTTTGCAATCTGGCGCATTAACCCACAGCGCCATACACGGTGTTTGACAGAGTAGGAGGGTTTGCGCCTGCAGCTGCATCTCCCTTGGAGGCCAGAAGGTGGCGATATTGGCCTCTTTCTGCATTTAATATCTGCCTCTGGTTCCTATTCCTGGGGCCACAGGACGAGACAAATTTGCTGTCTCGCCACATCTGTCCCTCTGATATCCCCAGCTTCAGGCAGCATTGCTAATCCAGGCTTTGCACCCATCTCTCCTCCTTCCCCCGCCTCAATGCAGCCTTGACTCCACCAGCCTGATCCCCTTAGCCTTCCTCCTCTCTGAAATGGCACTTTTAGCTGCCCAGTTGCTGATGGTGGATATTCTAAAGCTTCCATCTTTCTCAGCTGCTAACTGAGTATTTGGAGGTTTGAGTTCACACAGAGGTACCTTTGAAAAAAGGCCTCGCAACCTGCTTCTGAATGAACCGCCACTGAAAGCCCTAGGGGGCACAGTTCTGCTCTGAGTCACATGGGGGTCTCCGTGAGAGGGGTCAACTGCACAGCAATGGCTTTGCTTGGTTGTTTGGTTGGCTTTGGTCTTCCTCAAGCCTCGTCTCTCACACTCACCAAGCTCCACTGATGCTACCTTGTAGGAACGCTCACATCTTTCCAGCAGAGAGGATCATGGGAGGAGGAAAGGCCTTTCTTTCTCCCCACCCCTCCCAGCTCCCTGGCACAAATGAGCCAGCCCCTGATGACAGGATCAGATGTCTGCTTGAGCTGGGGAGCAGACAAGAGCGGCAGCGGTATCAAGTGAGGCACTTTAAAGGGTAGCGCTGCCAGGCTGTGACACTCGGCAGGACTGAGCACCTTTCCATGCAAAGTACAAGGCTGTACTGATTGCTCAGAAACCAGTTCACAGACCACCTGTAGCCCCTTCTTCAGTTCAGCAACAGGCCATCGTCCCAGCACACATCATCCCTGAGCCCCTTGGTTCTCTGCCTCTGCCCAGGCCCCAGCCAGGAGCAGATCTTGGAATGGCGATCAGCCCTCCAACCCTCTGGTACGACTAGTCCACCACTAGGCTCGGTGGCACAAAGGTTAAGGTGACACGGATTTGGGTCCGGGCTGGCTTACTCCTTTCAGCCCTAGGACAGCCAGTCCAATGGGCCCCCTCCTGTCACTGGACACATGGGGACACTGAGCTTGTGTCCCACCAGGGAGATGACCTGGATGAAAGAGTGTTACCTGTTCATCAAGGCAGAAGAGGCTCTTGCCAGAGCAGATGGGTCCTGGCTCCGCTCAGAAGGCCCAGTCTCATCCACAACCTCCACCCTTAGAGCAAGAAGACAAGCAGATGATGCACCACCAGGCAAGCAGGGCCTTTGAGGGGCACACCGCAGGACTGGGAGACTAGCGCTATCACCTAACCCATGTCCTCCCCAGTACCTGGGATGGTAACCTTCCTTGAAACGAGGGTCTTTATAGATGAAATGAGTTCAGATGAAGTTGTATCAAGGGGCAGAGGGGAACCCTAATCCAATGACCGCTTTCCTTCGAAGGAGAAGCCTTCTCCTCAAGCTTCCAGAGGAAGCTCGCCCTGTCAGTGCCTTGATTTGGGGCCCGTGCCTCCAGAGCAGTGGGACAGTAAACTTCTGTGATCTGTCTCCGCCTCTGTGTTGCCACCACCCCCTGCTCTTGAGTTCCGGCAGCCTTTCCACCCGTCCCAAACAAGAGTCGGCTCCCATGCAACTCTAGGTCTTTGTTCTTCCTGCCTGGTGGTCGGACCCTGCCTGCAGACACTGGTCACCCTGTAGGTCAGTCACCTCCCTGCCTGGGTGCTAGGCACTCTGAGGGCCCTTCTCTAATGGTATTCATCACGTCAGGCCTTCGGCTGGGGCCACTCATACTTCTGACTGTCTGCCTCACACCTCTGTGAGCTCTGTGTGGTGACCGGGGTGAGATCAGAGGATAGGGCCAGAAGGATGGCTCTTGACCCTTTCTTGCTATAGCCTGCTGTCTGAGGACCCAACCAGTTTCTGAAATGCCAGTCTAGTGGCCACATCTGTCCAGGTGAGCAATCAGTCTGTCCCTGGTGGGACAGGAGAAAAGCCCCTTTGAACTCCAGTAGCCACAGAGGACCTTGGACCGACCCCACAAAGGCTGCATTTTGACCAGGGATCCAGTCTTATGGGCTAATGGAAAGTCCTCAGGAGCTCCTGCATGGTAACACTCACCGCTTAGCGATGAACGGGGCCTGTGGTTCATGGGCAGGACTGCTGGAAAGAGGAAGCAGAAACGTGGCAAGGTGACGTGTCAGGCAAGGACAATGCAGACAGAGAATCCAACCCCTCTCTCCCAGTCCCAGCACCCTGAAAACTTCTAAAAAGTGAGTCTGGGACTCCTAAGAAGTCCCACCAGCCAAGGAAAAACTCAGGCCCAGTGGAACACAGAATGGCTGAGCCTTCTGCCCTGGGACCTTCTCACCTAGCACTCTTCTTAGCTGCTGACAGTACGTAGGAATGGTCCCGGGGCGCCGTCTTCCTGACCAGGCTGCTTGCAGCCTCGGACCTGATGGGGAGATGGCCCAAAGGAGGCCAGGGTGAACAGCTTCTAGACAAAGATGATGAGGCCCAGACCCTACATCTAGCACTTCCTGCCCAGGGGACTCTACCACTGTGGACCCTTTATGTAGAATGGCAGGCCTTCTGGCACCAGGGGCTTTGTGAGCAACAGCAGATGTGAGTCCAGAACTTGCACTTTCTCAGGGGCTAGCTGATGCCCACCAGCTATGGGGTGGCACACTGTCAGCCACTGACAGAGTGTGAAGACAGGAACTGGAGGGAAAAGGTGGGCCTGGGCCAAGGTGAGGGACAGAGGGTGCTGGGGTACGTACCTCCTTTTCTGCTCATCAGTGGAGAAGAGCACCTCCTCCCCAGCTGCTCCTGCCGAGCTGCGCCGGACATTGTAGGGTGCTCTGCAGGGTGGGGACAGAAGGGGCTGAGGATGCCTTGCCCCCGCCCTGCTTCAATCCCAACTGTCCCTCCACACCCTGCAGCTCTGCACCCCTGTGGAACAAACGATATCAGGGGTGGGGGGCAGGCACAACTCCCTACCACTGTCCAGAATCCTACTTCCTAGGTGTCCTGGCCTTTGAGGGCTTCAGGCCACAGTAGCAGTTAGCAGGGGTCTCAGCTCTCCCAAGCCCACCCTGCCTCCTCGGGTCCAGTATGTGAGCTATCTCACGGAAGAAGATCCAAACCTTCCCGGGTCAGCAACTTACAGCTTTTTGTAGTCCTCAGTGGTTAATTTGTAGCCGGTGGACAATGGCCGGGGAGGCCCAGTGCTAACTGCTCTCACCGGGCTGGCAGCACTGGAAAGGCAAGGGCCACCTGATGACCACACTTGCTTCCCATGGCAAGTGGACAAAGGGAAGGGGATCTGGGGTCTGGCCTCTTTGCTCTCAGCCAGCCAGACCCCCAGGACCACTGTACCCTCTGAATCTGTCCCTGCTGATGCTGGCTTCGTATCCCCGAGGAACTGCTAATCCCAGGGCCCTTCCCCACTTCAATTCACTCTCCCTGGTGGTAGGCAGAAAGGGGGCTATCTCACCCAGGGGCAGATTTGGTACCCCCAAACTCACCTTTTAGGCGCTCCATTGGCCTTGGGGAAAAACGGCTGGGGCTGGGATGAGCTGTCGATAGGTTTGGTGAACACCCCCCTAGGGGAGAACCCAAGAGAAGCAGTGGGTGCAAAGCTGGGCTAAGGTACTGGTCATGGGGAGGTAGGGAGGGCCCGCATTACCCACCTGATGATGTAGCCAGTGGAGGCCCTCGAGCTCAGAGGCCTGCAAAGGACAGAGAGGGGATGAGGGGAAGCTGCTACTCCATGTGGTCCCACATCATGAGGGGTAACCTGACCAGGCTCTGGAGGTCAGCTGTTCGATCAAACCCTGGTGTAGATGTTGCTGTGGTTCACATACAACTAGCACTGACATCGCTTAGCCTTGAGTCAAGAGTCAAGCAGTCATCTGATGGTACGTCTTGTCCAATCAGTTGAAGACTTTAAGAGCACAACTGAGGTTTCTCCAGGGAGAAGGACTCTACCAGAAGTAGAATCTAACAGAAGTCCCCTCCTCCTCCACCACCTGGCCCACAGACCTGGGACACAGACCGCTGGGACCTGAAAGTTCTCACCAGCACACAAGCAAATTCTTCAAAATAATTGACATCTGTGTTTAAAAAGAAGGCTTTCTGCTCCAGTGAGGCTGTGAAGTCTCGGGAAACCCTGGGCAGGATTTCTGAGGAGCAACTAGTGGGTTCGAACCATTGACTTTGTGGTTAGCAGTCCAGTTCTTGTCCTACCATGCCACACCAGGATTCCAATGTATGGAAAACATATGTATATATTGTTGTTGTTCTTGTGTGCCATCGAGATGGTTTTTACTCATATTGACCCTGTATAGGATGTATACATTATATGTCCTGGTGTGGTGCTGTAGATAAGGTTGGACTGCACACTGAAAGGTCGGCGGTTCAAACTCAACAGTCACTCCTTGGAAACTCTATATAGGGTCGGTATGATTCAGAAGCAACTCCATGACACATAACAACAGCACTTTTATATATATAAAGGAATATGTATATGTGTATATATATATTATTGTTGTTGTTGTGAAGTGCTGGCTAGTTGTTTCCAATCTAGAATGACCCTGTATAGGATTTCCAAGGAATGACTGGTGAGCTTGAACCTCCAGCCTTGAAGCTCAAACCGACTTTATAGTCCAGTGCATTACCCACAGCGCCACATCAGGATTCTCTGTCTCTGTGGCGCCACATCAGGATTCTCTGTCTGTCTCTGTGGGTATATATATATATATTGTTGTTAAGTGCTGTTGAGTCGATTCCGACCCATAGCGACCCTGTATAGGGTTTCCAAGGAGCAGCTGGTGAGCTGGAACCACCAACCTTGCAGTTCAAACGACTTTGCAATCGGACACATTAGCCCATAGCGCCACACCAGGACAC